AGGGCTGTGTGGACACACAAATCTGATCTTTTCAAATCCGACCTGAGCCACTTTCATACGTGGTCCTAGATTGGATACGTATCCGATTCGTGGCCATGCGACCTTAATGTGATGCTCAGATCGGAATTCATGTGCTTTTTTCCATTGCACATGCGCCATCATTCAGCGTTACCATGGCAGCAGCGCGAAGCAGAAGTTAAAGCCTTTAAACGGTGGAAAAGCAACACATCTGACCATTTTCACCTTCGTCTTGCTCTAATAATGAACAGCTGAGAGCTGATCAGAGTTAATTATCTTCTTAGCGAAGCTCGTTCTGACCGTTAGTTTGTGATGACACGTTATTCATTCACGTAACGTTACTGAGTAGGATGTGTGCATGCCAGACATTTCATTTCATTCACATTAATGACAGATTTGAATCACTTACGTAAACGAGTGTGAACCATCGTGTCAGAGAGATCGGATTTGAGCAAAACGTAGCCTATTTAATGCATCTAGCAGTCACTGTATCTACCCATACGGTCACAATATGGTATTCCATCCATAACGTTCTGGCCGTTTTCAATTTTTTTTTTTAATTATAGCCCACATTATCAACAACATTGTTTTAAGTTTGTCTTAAGGTCACATTTAACTTAATAAAACAGAGCTTGTGAACTGACTGATAAATCAGAGGCCACCAAACCCTCATGTGTTGTGACATCACAACCACAACTTGCTTTCTACTCTACATTCAGTGGTCAAGCATCATGCCTGAAATAGTGGATATTCTGGTCTTCTTGGCAAAAAAAATCTAAACTTTAATTTGTTCACTCTTAAAAAAGTTCTTGAATGGTTCTTTAGTAAAGAAAATGGTTCTATAAGGCACCAAAAAGGGTTCTTCTATTGTGACAAGCTTGACATCATACACATTTTAAAAAGATGGTTCCTCAAGGGTTCTTTAGAAAAGAAAATAGTTCTATATAGAACCATAAACCAAAGAACTCTTTGAATTGTTAAAGGGTTGTTTGCATTGTGAAAGCATTCTTCAGCATTGCTGTAGATAGTTCTATATAGAACCTTTTTGAAAAGTGTTCTATATAACACCAAAAAGGGTTCTTTAATTGTTATAATGTCAAGCTTGCAACAAAAAAGAACCCTTTTTGGTGCTATATAGAACCCTTTTCAAAAAGGTTCTATATAGAACCATCTACAGCACATTCTCCATCCGTCTGAAGGACGCTTTCACGATCCAAAGAACTCTTTAATCATGCAAAGGGTTCTTTGGGTGTTCATGGTTCTATATAGAACCATTTTCTTTACTAAAGAACACTTGAAGCACCATCTTTTTTTAAGTGTGTACGATGTCAAGCTTGTAACAATAGAAGAACGCTTTTTGCTGCTATATAGAACCCTTTTCAAAAAGTTCTATATAGAACCATCTACAGCACATTCTCCATCCATCTGAAGAACACTTTCACAATGCAAAGAACCCTTTAATCATGCAAAGTCGCAGTATTAGTCAGAAAAATCGCAGTTAGATATCTTCCCGCAATTGTTCAGCCCTGATGTAGACATTGATGTTTCTAAGGCAACATTGTCTGATCAGCCTGATTTGATGATGTAGTCACTGCATCCAGAGACTGAATGTATCACATTTCCCTGTTTAAAAGATTAAATCAGGCTTGTGTGGCGCCAGTGTAAAGCAGATGAATACAGTCTATGCTGCGTTTGTTTTCTAAAACATCACGACACAGAGCGCTTCGGGCATCTGAAGTTATGGAAGAAGAAAATATGGGGAAATATGTATGTGTGCTTAGTGGCGCTAGCTGAAGCACATAAACTCAAAAGAAGAGAATAGATTGAAAATGGCAGCGAAGAGTGTTGGGAGGATTGTGTATTGCCCTTCACAGGTGAAGGATGGCTTTTGAACTTGTACATCTATAAGCCTTTTTTGAATGAATGCACAGGGAGGCGCCAAAAACATCTTGTTTAAAAAGAGAGATGGGAACAATGATGAAAGTTTTAGGTGATGCTAGAAAGTGAATGTAGACAAGCTACTTGTGATTCAGGGCTCAGAAACAGAGCTGTTTGCCCTAAGAAGAACCATTATTTCTATCGTTTCTGTTTGTGAATCAGCAACATAAAGCTGTGAAACAGTCATAAGAATTTAGGTTGAGCAAAATAAGCCCAAATGAGTCCAAGTGCAGTGTGTGTTGCTTGCACGTTTCACAAGTTATGTTCACACATTTGTTGGCCCAAATCCGATCTTTTTCTACGTAAATGACACAGATTTGTTATCTGTGTGTCAGTGTGAACAGAAAAAACACTTCAAATCTGACATTTTCAATTCCAATTTGAGATGCTTTCATATGTGGTACAGAAATCTGATACGTATCCGATATGCGGCAATGCGGCTCAGTCTGAACAGCCAGATCGGAATTCATACGACTTTTACATCAATCCAGCTCCGCATTTGTCATAATTTCGTGCTGCTGAGATTCATAAACATTTGGGTTGATATTTCTCTACAAAAAATTAGAAGAGACTCATCCAAAACTCCTCCGCATCTGAAGCGTCACAGAACAGTTAAAAGTCTGAAAGCAAAGTTTAAAGAATCCAAGGACACAACTCATAGAAGAGACCGTGGCCGAAAAACGTGCCCTTTTTACAGCGAGCTCGAACACATTCTGGGTGTTGAGCCCAGCTGTCAGTCAATGAAGCTTCATGATTGCTCTTGTGACGTTGGCGAAGATGAAACTGAACCCTCCGGGAGCAACTGGCATTCGTTGGCAGTCATCATTGTTTACCTCTGAATGAGAGCGCCACAATCTTCACATTGTTCTTTTGCGTATGCAGGTCAGTTTAGGAGCTCATCTGTTCAGACTAATGTCGCATACAGGTCACATTTAAAAGATACTATGAACAGCCAAAACAAAAAAAAAAAAAATTTGATGAGGAAATCAAATTTAGGCCACTTTTACCTGCGGTGTGAACGTAGCCAAAATGTCTCAAACCGGGATTGAAAATGTCGGATTCAATGCCCTTTTTGCTGTTCACACTGCCACACAGATATCACATCTGTGTCACATATGAAGAACAATTTGGGACACTTTTAGCTGCTGTGTGAACAAAGCCTGAATAGAAGACCTGGTCCTCTAAAGAAATAGTTTGGCATTCCTCAAATGTAGTTTATCAGCCAAGACATTTCTGCTTCTTTAGATTTGAGACTATTTTAACTAAAGTAAGGATTAATGATATGAACTTGAATTTACATCATGATATTTTGTAGAGCTTATAAGAAAGATTTAAGCTGTTCAAGCTTGTGTTTAATTACTTTAATTAGTTTTTGTACTTACCACGATATCCATGATATTATCAAATTCTTATCATGACACATGATACTGCCATTCACTTTTATGCTGGTATAACTCCCACCCCTACTGACAAACTGCATTCAACAGTGATGTTAAATTAACTTGCTTATGCAGTTTCTGACTGTGTGATTGATTCAAGATTTAGTCTTCAAGATGGTTCTAGCTATGTGACATACTTTTGTCCATTTTTATAGGTAACAGCCAAGGTGTGAAGTACAGGGGGTCCTGGGGGTCCATGGCCTCCTAATTAAACTCTTAGTTGCCCTGAATGTCTCAAAATTAAAATTCCTGAAAGTAAATTTATTATGCTGTTTTGTTGTCCAATGCTTATATACAGATGGTCGGAAAAGTTGTTGTTTAGCTGCTTCACAATCGGCAAGCTTCTGTATTTGGTAATTCTTAACTAACCAGAGATGCTGCACTGGTGTCAGAGTGCTGCTGTAGCAGACTGGTTCACCCAGTGGGTCATAACTATGCCCAGAATAGCTCTGAAAAACTTCACAATATGCCACAGCATATTTGTAAATCTGAAAACCTGCCCAATTTCCTAGTAGAAAGAGTGAATTTTTTACTCATTTTTCGAACCGAAGCTAGCGCCAGCACTACTATGGCGAGTGAGTTAGCAGCAACCAACGCTGGATTAGCAAGCCAACATGAGGACCCCCTGAATACCAGAGGGCATTTCGCACACAAGTAACAATAGAAACCACATAAGCAAGTCTATTTGATGTCACTGAACAACTAGAAACAGTTTCAGAGAGTGTTTGTCGTGAACAATGTAATTTGGTTATCTGCATTAGCCTCGACAGTCTATAGTAAAAAAGTTAGAGGCGCTCCGAGTGGCCCAGCTGTCTTAGGGTTGGCCCTATCATCAGGAGATCCTCGGTGAGGCTACAGCAATCCGAGGCTGGGAGTCCAAGAGAGCACAATTGGCTTCGCTCTCTGGGTGGGTAGGATGGCCCCCCTTCTCCCCCCATCACTCAATGTGATGCTAGCTGATGTAACAGATCTAGTGGTTGGCGCTTTCCTTTGAGCTCATTCGGCTGTTCAGTGACGTTGTGTGAGCGGCAGTTTAAAAAAAAGATGCAGCGGTGCTTCGCAGGTCTCTGAGGAAGCCTGTGCTAGCCTTCGCCCTCCTAGCGCGGCAATATCGTGTGATTGGGGGAGTCCTAACTAGCGGGTGGAATTGAAGACGACTAAATTCGGGGGGGGGGACTTTCATAAGTTTTCTTGACTGATCGACTCTGTTTGGGGAGAGAGGGGGATATTATATACCATTAAAACCTATTACTTTAAATGGGTTCTACACTCTCAGGGTCAGATTTCAGAGTTTTTTGCAGACGTGTTGGTCACTACGTTGCAAAAAGCAGCTGCACTCCTACACTGATTCTTTCTGCCATCTCTCTCTCTCCCCCCGCCCTTGCCTCTCTCTCTCTCTCTCTCTCTCTCTCTCTCTCTGTTCCATTTCTCTTCTTTTCTTTCTGTGTTTGCCCTCCTCTGTGTATGACCTCTGTCAATGAAAATCAAAAGCATTCTCTTCACTTTCTTTCTTGTGACATATTCTCTTGCTGGATGGCTCTTCTTGTTTATTCACTTCTCGTCCTTCTCTCTCTCTCTCTCTCTCTCTCACTTGGTGTCTTTCAGGGCGCAGGCTGCACAGCGTTGGTTGTTGCCGTGGTAGCGAGGAAGCTGGAGCTGACCAAGGCCGAGAAGCATGTGCACAACTTTATGATGGACACGCAGCTCACCAAACGGGTACAAACACACACACACACACACACACACACACACACACACACAGATTAAAGTCACACTCATAAGGTGTAGGTGTAGCGTAGTGGGTTCACAAAGATTAGAGATTGATTCCCTGCCCTGTAAAGCACACCGTGCCACCCCACTAAGAGTCCTTGGGCAAGACCCCTGTCGCTATATTTACCTACCCTAAAACTGTAAGTCTCTGGTTGAGATCTGTCAAATGCCATGGAAAAAAAAGAAAATAATATATATATATATATATATGTATATATATATATATATATATATATATATATATATATATGCATAATTCAAATGTATACAACTTTCTCTCTAACACCCAATTCAGTGACATGTTTTGTGTCTGAGGTTTGCTTTCTTAGCTTTGCATTTCTATAGAAAACAGTATACAGCATACAGTGTCGGGACGACATAAGCTGGTGTACATCAAGCGTGTGATGATTTAGGCCTGCACAATACTAACTGGTGGTGTATAAGCTGCCATTACTTGTTAGCTACATTATCCTCGTAGTTCTAGTGCAAAATGCAAACTTCAGGCCGAGCAGGTGAGGAAGCAAGATGCAAGTGTGAGTTGGTTTTATTAGAATCCAGGGAAATAAAGAACTGTGAGAACAGGGCTAACAAACACTAGGAAAATAATAAGAAGCAAGGGCTAACAGACAGACAGATCAGTGCTCTGCAAGCAACAAAATGGTAGAGTAGAAGGAATAAACTTTAATTTTTAATGTAAATTCATGTAAAGAATTATGTCAAAAAATGAAAAGCTACCAACTATACGATATACTACAGACTTAAAATGATGGTTCTTTAAGGGTTCTTTAGTAAAGAAAATGGTTCTATATAGAAACATAAACACTCAAAGGGTTCATTGCATGGTGAAACAGTTCTCCAGATTGTTGATTGATTGATTGAGAGTGTGCTGTAGATGGTTCTATATAGAACCTTTTTTAAAAAATGGGTTCTTCTATTGTTACGATCTGAAACTTGTAACAGTAGAAAACCTGGGTGCTATACAGAACCTTTTCAAAAAAGGTGCTTCATAGAACAGCACATTCTCCACATACTCCATCAATCTGAAGAATGCTTTCATGATGCAAAGAACCCTTTAATCATGCAAAAGGTTCTTTATAGAATCCTGAAGAATCCTTGAAGCGTGTAACAATAGAACCCTTTTTGGTGCCATACAGAACACTTTTCAAAAAGGTGCTGTATAGAACAGCACATTCTCCATGTTCTGCATCAATCTGAGGAATGCTTTCATGATGCAAAGAACCCTTTAATCATGCAAAGGGTACTTTGAGTGTTCATGGTTCTTCGTACAACCCTGAAGAATCCTTGAAGCGTGTAACAATAGAACCCTTTTTAGTGCTATTTAGAACCCTTTTCATAATGGTTCAATAAAGAATCATAGACAACACACCATTTCATGCTGCAAAGAACCCTTTGAGTGTTCATGGTTCTATTCAGAACCCTTGAAGAACCATCTTTTTGAAGTGTGTAGGAACGACCAACAAGAAACACCTGGGGAAAAATGACAAGGTGGGTGACAGATGAGCATTATAACAAGGAGGCGGAGCCTTGGGGAGCATAAGACAAGACTGGGGAAGATACTGAAGAGGGTGGAGTCCCAGAAATGTCTGGTCACCTGCATTTAGGTTAAGGCGGAAATTGTGTGAATCTGATTTTTGAGCAAACAACTGTCACTTTAAAGCAAAATAAATAAAAAATCTCATACACACACAGGGCTGCTTGCACCAACACGTCCACGAGGAGCTGTGTGTGCACGGTGAGGTAATGTGTTGTGAAGACAACAGTCCAAACCAATCTTTCAGTTAGATCAGAGCATTGCGTAACAGCCGCTAGCACTCTCTCCCTCTTTCCTCCAGCTCGCTCTGCCTCTCCTCTCCTTGCGCGCCCTCCATCCCTCTCTCCTCTCTCCTCCCTCGTCCTCCTCTCTCCCTCTCTCTAGGTCCTTTTCAATTTTTCATGCATTTGAAAGTCCCAAGTTTCAAAAATAGCTCCCCCTATCAAATATGTAGGCTACATCCTGGCCGCACTGTAGACAGCGAGGAGAGCCGGTGATCAATAATTGCAACACGGATAAAAAAATCGACTGAAGTGCTTTTGGGCGGGCCGCTCAAGAGGGAGAGCTAAATGCCTTAAATGCCTTCAGAGAGAGGGAGCGAGCGGAGGAGTGAAGGAGGATGGCGAAACGAACCCCCCACTTTTTTAAAAAGTTCATTATCTTACACTCACTCGGTCGACTCTGCCAGATTAATGCAGAGAGTGTGTGAGATCGATACACGGCATGTAGTGTTTCTGTGCTTCTGCTTCATGGCATTGAGTCTGTCGCTACTATGGTTACGAGCATCCGTAACTGTTGAAAAAAAAAAAGACTGGGAACTTTGAATAATGGAATGATTACCTCATAGACCTGTTGCCGTGGAGACGCAGAGGCACAGTGTGTTTACCTTGAACTGCATGACAAAATGGTGGGTGTTTCCTTCCTCTCGTCTCTCTGTGATCAGAGAGGGCAGCGGGTTTGTGACAGCAGCTCATGCTAGGTTTTGGGCACCAAAGCGCTGATGTAGACTCTGTTACTGTACTGCTGTACAGCCAGCTGTACTGTAAAAAAAATGCTGGGCAGTTCAGCCTAAAACTTCATGTGGTAGCAGGCAATTTAGCTGTTTTTTGTAAGCTCAGATAAATATTTTGGTTGAAACTGGAGATGCACCAATATGGAAGGTGTGGGCCCATGGCAATATCCCATAATTTTCATGTACAAGAGAGTCGTATCCAAAAGTTTGGGTGCCACTATTCAAATGACAAGTTTTGTTGATACTCTAAGTGAAAATAAGTTAAATACCCAGGGGCCCTAAATCTGTGTTTTCTTTGTAATTGGGTTAATCTTGTTCTTGCAGGCTAACAGGAAGCATGTACTAGGTCAGGGGTGCCCAGACTTTTGCATACGACTCTCTGTACCTGAAAATTATGGGATATCCAGCCCCGGTCCTGGAGATCTACTACCCTGGAGAGTTTAAATCCAACACACCTTGCTAATATAGTCAGATCCCCCTGAAGGCTTTGATTACCTGGATCAGGTACAGTAGATTTGGGTTGGAGCTAAACTCTGCAGGGTGGTAGATCTCTAGGACCAGGACTGGCCACCCCTATACTAAGTACACCCTTTAAATAATGCTCCAAAGACCAAAAGATGACCAATATACTTCTTTCCTCTCAGTGTAAACTGGGCAGTCCTACTCTTGGCTAGCACTTTCATAAGCATTCCCCTGACTAATCTCAAGGCTGATGTCTCTGGCCCCGCCCACACAAAACAGTTTCAGAGATGTGGAAACTTAGAGAGCTAAAACTAACCCATCATAACCAAAAAGTCTACATCCTAAGAAAAAGTCTACGTCAGATTAATGATGTGTTCTTAAACCGCAGAACTGTTCTCACCTCTGTGCTCTTTAGTGTGTGTAGATTCTGTTCCTACCCAAGAACAAATCCCCAATAAGAAAACACTGGTGAATGTCAGATCTTCATGAAAACTGCGTAAGTGGGTTTTACGAAGAAATTTATTCTTAAGAACGGTTGGTGAATGAGGCCCATTGTTCGTTCGCCTGTTCCTTCATTTACGCGTTGCTTCGTCTGTCTGTTCGTCCGTCCATCTGTGTGTCTGTTTTTTTTGTGCATTGCTTCGTCCATCCATCTGCACAGCCTGTTTGTCCGTGACTTTTTTCATAGACATAGAAGCTTGATGATTTTAGTTCTGTAGGGCTGGTGGAGCAAGCCAGGAGTGTTGGACAGAGAGACTTAAATCAAGTCGGTCATTAGCCACGCCCACACAGCTCTCAGATAGCTCTGATCAGCTGTGTTTTATCATATTTCAATCTTATATTAAAGCAATAAGCCACAAGAGGCCATGCTTTACAGCAGTTTTATCACGGGAAAGGGTGTTGTTATGCACAACAGGAAGCACAGCTTTAAGTGGTTTATTGCTTTTAAAATCCAGCGGCCAACGTGAAAAAGGATAAAATACACAGAATATACAGTTCTACAGTGAACTGGGCCGAGCCCCAGATCTTCACAAGCCCAGCCAACGTACCTTTGTACCATTAGTACCACTACAGAGCGGAGAAGGAAAGGGGTTTCTCTTCTTGTAAATTTCCACCAGGTGCATGATGGGAAATAATCTTAAAAATCTAGTTGCAGTCTTGGAAATAGTGACACTGCAGGATCCCCAGTCTTTGCAAAATCATAGTCTGTGACTAAAAACTGTGATATTGTCTTTAGATGTGAAAGGGTGACCGACTTTAGTCTTTCTAAAGCCTTTTCATAGTCTTCTAGTGTCTGGTTAACATAACTTATCATTCTCATTTTACAAAGCTCAGGCCTGTGAATGGATAATTACAGTAGAAAACAATTTTTCTGTTATTGTTCCATCTCAGATTTATTCTTTGTGTATTAACATTCTATTAATTTGTTTTACAAAGAGACAAAAAAGAAAGAAAGCTATGACACTGTACCATCAGACTGTATACTTCGTTTTTTATTCACAACAAATGCCAAGTCTGTAGGGATGAACCGAACTAGCTCATATGGTATGTGTTTAATTCAGTGCTTAGCGGATTTGCTGATGTGTAATGCATAACGGATAATTTCCTGTCAATCTGAAGGCCTCATCTTCTTTCAGGGGAATGCTGAGGTCCCTGCTGTGAGCTATTTTCTATTTTCGCACTGAACCATTTTGATGAATCAATTTGTTTGTCTTGCATCCTTTTTTATTTTAGCTTCTTGCTCTTTATTTGTTTCTCCTTTAATCCGTCCGAATCCATTAAACAGCCATTCAAGTTCGTATAGCTGAGAGTGAAATGGCAGCGGAAGATAAACACGCTCCTGTACAGAGTTATTTTGATTCAAATGATGCATACCATTCAGCCACATACGAGATAAAGTATGTAAGTTAGCCCTCCTTTCTCTTCTTTTGTTCATCTCTTGGTCTGCAGTAAATTATGATTATGCTTGAAAGGGAGAGATGCGGCCGACAGCCCGGCAGCGCGGGTGCAGCTGGCAGGCGAGCATAATAAAAAGAAACAAACAACAATTTCAAACAAAACAACTGGTGGAACTCAATAAAAAGTAGATGCCTTTCTTGCAAATGTGTCCAAGTAAAGGAAAGCACCATCATGAAAAGAGCCTGAAATTTGCCTTAAGAGCATGTAATTGTGTTTGAACTTTAATTTAAGTGTTACATTAGGCATGTTATTAAAACTATCAGAGACACTGGGGTCATTCCACGGCTACTCACCTAGGGCTTGTCCAGTCACATCATGGATTTACAGCCATACAAACTTTTAAAGTGTTTTTGTTTGCCCTTCAGGTTCTAAATTGCATTATAGATATTGAGTTTAATTACTTACCGAACAGCTGAACTGAGCTAAACTATAAACTGGGTATGAATATAATACTAAAAAAGACTTTATATCAATTGGTTTATGTCAATAAATGTGTTCAGTAGGTTCATTTATTAGAGGAATCTTAGGATTGTGCAATATTTCATCTTTAAAATGTAATTTTTCAGTCAGCTATCGAAATAATTCTTGTTTTTTTTTGTAGCATTCCTACATTTCTATTAAATGTAAAATATTTAATATTAATTATTTAATACTAAATTCTGCATGCAGGTTTTGAGTTTAAAATGACTTCACACCTAAAATTAAACTTGTTCTAAAACAACAAACCGACTTTCTGGAGTCTTATACGTAAATGTACTTTTGTAAATCCAGTGCTCCTCTATTTAGAGTTTGTTTATACTGTGTGTGATGATGCTAGCTGGTCTAGCATATCACCAGCAGCCATGAACAAAGACTATAAGAGACAAAGGTAAAGAGACAGTTACTTACCTGTTTCCTGGAAAGAGTGACGCCGCGGGTCATTCTGTCCTCTTGTAGGTCTGCGGGCCTGGGAGGGACACAGGGACAGGGGGTGCACAGGTCAACCTGAGAAAAAGTAAAACAAAACTGTTAATGAATTAATTGCTAATATTGAACATTGGCCATGAATGACATCAGTAGATATTTGTACTCGAAGTAAATGCTGAATGTGTGTGTATTGTGAATGGGAACGGGACTATTTTACCTTACAAATACCTGAATATAATTTTGGTTTAGTCCACTGGGAGGGGCTGTAGGTATTTAAGGAGGGGCACTGTCCAGGTACAGGAGGTCTAACTGCTGCAAGTAAGACCGCTAGTCTCGCTGCCGATATGCACCCTGAGGTAGAGAGGGAAATTAAGTAAGAATAGACAAGGAAGAGTAACAAAATGCCTGTCATACATTTGAGTTTTATTTTTTTTTTTTGTGTAAATAGTTGTGTGCATGTGCCAATGGTGAAGTGCTGTTTGGATTTTTGATAATGTGCGCAATAAAGAAACGGGGAAAGAGAATCATTTAACCAGCCTTCTGTGCGAACTTCTTCTAAACATGCCAAACACGGTAAACTCCAGGCCACTTCGAGTCCACCCTACCACACTGTGCTTCTTTTTTGTTGAGAAAGATTTATTAAACCATATTTTTTGGTTGTGAAAGCACTTTGATCTTGTGGTGTAGCTTCAAATGAGGCATTAAGAAACTTTTGCTAGTATAAATACTACATAAGTCATAAATGTTGCAAAAATTATTTTGAAAACTGGCTGAAAATTTGGATTTCCACCAATAGGTAAACCTTCTGCGGAAAAATAATATGAAAGTTATGTTGCAAAGGAACTACTGAATAAGGTAAAAGAGAAGATCATTTTGATTAACACTTTTTTGGTTTTCTGCATAATACCATATAGACCACTTAATAGTTTTGATCTCTTTGCTACTGTTCTGGACTCTGGAAAAGAGCAAAAATTAAATAAATAAAAAAATATTAAAGCCCGTGTACAAACTTTTAAAAGGGAAATCCACTATTTTTTTTCTGCATAATCAAACAGTTAAGATGTACACAAAGTAATTCAGAGTGGCTTGAAGTGAAATGCGTTATTATAGAGAAACCTACTGACAGCAGTGGTGGAACCGAGAATTGTTAATGCCTTTAAAACGTCCCTCACAGAAAGTTTTTACACAAATTGGTTACAAGTACTGCACTGCTGCCTGCCACATTGTTTTATGGTAGTTTTGAGATAACAATATTTTTAACACTCGTGGTGGAGAGGTACATGCAGGATGCGGTACGGACGCTGGTTCACTGGTCAGTTTGGATAGTAAATAAAATATCTCTATTTGTGTTAAAGACAACAGACTCACTCTGATCTCAGATAGACTGACATCTTGTACATCTTCTATCTATATCTTGTATAACCTATATATATATATATATTCCAGATTATACAAGATATAGATACAAGATATATATATATATATATATATATATATATATATATATATATATATATATATATATATATACATACATATATACGCATATACATGATATATACAACAGTATATATCATGGCTTTTATCTCATAACTTATATTACCATACATTGGAATAGTGCAATAGTGGTGTATATTAATGTGTATATTGTGTATACATGTGTATATTTAGAGTGTATATATATATATATATATATATATATATATATATATATATATATATATATATATAGTATAGTACTATAAGGTGGCTGTGTAAATGTGATGTGACAACAAACGTGATTCAATAAACATGATATGTACCTCCTGGTTCCTACCACCATTATATAGAAGTCAGAGTTTCACTACAAAGAACCATTTCACATCAAACCACTCTGAATGGCTTTTTTTACATTTCAATGAATTAATTTGGCAGTAATTTTGAAGAAACCCCTTTAACTGGTAACATAGGCCAACATTTCATGCACATTGCACTGGGACCACTGTCTGGAAGCTTCCAGAGAAATGTTTGTGTTGAGCTGAACTGATCAACACCTCCTGTCTGTTAATATGGACCTGATGATTGCCTTATCTCTCTCTCTCTCTCTCTCTCTCAAATTAAACCTATGCTGTGGTCGGGGCAGAAGTCTCACCCTTGTATTATTAAAAACAGTGACCTCTTCTAATTAATCAAAACATTGTTGTGCTAAATCTGGAGCAAAAAAAAAAGGTGCGCCTTCGTGCTGCTCAATGGCCGGAGGTGCCCCGTCAAATCAGGAGCTTATTAAAAACGGGAAGGCTCTGTCCTCCCCGTGCCGCCAACCGAGGATGTAATTGTTCTTCCCTCACTGAGCGGTGCCCCTTTGAAGTCTCCTCATTCATTTAAAAAAAAAAAATTCCAAACCGATTTTCCCTCGTTTTAGTCCCCTTTTTCCCCACCCCTCTCCCCTTTTTGCCTCGTGCTGTGTCTAAGATTTGCATAGCTTTTCAGCAGAAGACATCATGTCAGCATCATCGCATTGACAAAGGCATGCTCAGGGTAGAGAGACTCAAACCAGCTCTGACATTTGACTGGAACCACTAGTCATGTTTTCACAGATCCTTAATGTGGGAAATGAATTCTGAACGCCCCCCACCCCCCAATTCTTTCATAATGAATGAAACTGCCATGCTGGATATCACAGCTGTGAAAGGCTCTTGCCCTCAGGGAATTCTGTCCTGATAAGGCTGATCTGCTTTTATCTGGTTAGAGGAAGCGGATTGTAAAAAGATTTGCACCATGATCGGTGAGCGAATCTTCGCTTTGTTAACCCCTTAAACTCTAAACCCAGCGGTATACTTCAAACCATTGCAGAAATAAACTGTTGGAAGTATACTTAAAGCAGATTTGGACCAGGGGAAGGTTTCCAAGGAAACCTTGTGGCCAAAATGTTTTGTTTCAAAATTTAAAGATGTTAGAGAGGTTGGCGAATGTAGCATTAGGAGTCTTGCTCAAGGACTCTTATTGGTAATCAGGCAGGCAGGTAATCAAACCCTATAACTACATAACTTTGACATTAGATTCATAGCAGTTACTAAATAATTCATAATAGTTACTAGATAATAGGCCTTAACATGGTGGAACTTTGGTGAAACTTTTTGAAGTTGCAAACAACAGTGCAACTTGAATCAAGGTTGCATTCAACACATTATGTTATTTGCACCTTTGTAATGTTGCATCAGTTTCCTAGCAAGTTCATCTCAGATTTCTTGGTCTGTCATTTTATAATGTAATCCTTTGGGATCGCTCTTCACTGTGTACAAATAAGGAGTGTCAAGAAAGGAGAAGAAAGGTAGATCACTATAACAGCAGGCTAAAGAACCAGAGAAAATGGTGCAGCTGTTCAAGCAGCCGCCTTCCGCCCAATGACAGCCGGGATAGGCTCCAGCACCCCCCATGCCCCACTGCTATGACTGAGCTTCAAACAACTTACACACGAGTTACAGGAAGCTTTACATTAGGGAACGCAAGTGAAATTTAGTTTCATGTTTCAAGCAGTTAAAGTTGCATCAAAGTTTCACCATGTAAAGTCAGTCTAAGACTAATAACAACATAATGTCTAGAGTTTAAGCAGTTAGCCACGAGGGACACTTTCACCCAAGAGGAGCTCTGTTTTTGTGTTTTTGAGTTTGTGGATGTTTTTATTGGCGTCAGAGGGGAATGACTGAAGCCACGGTGGGGCTCTGGTGCGACCTGTTGCTAACACGGTTGTTATGGCGATTTGTCCCTGCAGATAAAGAACGCGGCGGCCAACGTTCTCCGGGAGACCTGGCTCATCTACAAACACACGAAGCTGATGAAGAAGATCGACCACTCTCGCGTCCGTAAGCACCAGCGGAAGTTCCTGCAAGCCATCCACCAGTGAGTGTAGCAAATACACAGCCTGCACATCAATGAAATGCACTGGGGCAGGGGTGCTTGATCCTGGACCTGGAGATCTACCACACTGGAGAGTCCAGATCCAACACACCTTTCTCTAATATTCAGATACTCCTTAAGGCCTTCATTACCTGGATCAGATGTGTTTGATTAGGGGTGGAGCTAAACTCTGTAGCATAGATCTCCAGGACCAAGTTTGGGCATTAGGGGTATCCAGCTCTGGTCCTGGAGAGCTGCTGTCCAGCACAGTTTGATCATTTCCCTTCTCAAACACACCTGATTCAGTGCAGTAGTTAGTACTTAGAATGGTACTTAATACTGCATTGCACTTACACTGAAATGCTTTACTATATATTGAAATATTGAATATATTGAAACGTTAATGACCCTTAACCTTAACCTTAGCGTGACATGGTTAAAGATTGGTCAGTGTTTTTTTGATCAGAAGTTTGGATCATGAGAATACTCTGGCAACTCTTTAATGTCTGAGATTTGGTTTGGAGTCTCATTTGCATATTGTAGTCTATTTTGCACAGGGCTTTTTCTGAAAATTTGGGTGCTACTCTGTCCACCTCAGTCATATTGTTTTGTATGCATAAATGAAAAATAATTGATTTTGATGAGAAAATGATGAATAAATGGCAAGACAATATAATAATAAATAACAGTAGACAAAATAAATTATACTTAATTGTACGCACTGGCATTCAGAGGTTTGTAATCACTTTCCATATGAATAATTTGTTATTTTATATTCAACTTATGCAACATAGTTTTAAATATTACAAGCGGATCACCAGATGTCTGTATGTGTTTTATGCAATGTTTCAAGAATTCTATGAAGAAGAGGTGAATAATATTATAATGTACTGTAATTATTTACATTAATTTTATTGTCAATTTATCTGCCTTGGTATTTTAGCTCTACTTCTAAAATATAAGGAATTCTGGACATTAATTTTATTATAACTTTAGGATCCCATACATTCTGGTGATTAAATCCAAATCTAAAATGTCTTTATTTTTATTAACAGTTTAATAATTATTATGAAGTTACACAGGACTAGCAAATTAGAATCAGTTTATACACTTGTATACAGCTGAACTAGTTGTACATTGTTAAAACATCGATACCAGACTTTTAAACAGCAAATCCAATATTTTGAATGCTAGTGCATATATAAATAAATTACTTACATTAATATCTAAAATAAAATTTAAACAGTACAATATGCTCTCTGGGCCCTATGGTGGCTCTGGGGCCCTAAGCAACTCCATGCACCACTTATAGCAAGATACCTTCCTGATTTTATGGTGTCTGCAATACCAGTATTGATTAAACACCATCTATTTGCATTTGAATGGGGAAATTACCAAATTGTTCTGCACTCAGACCTTCCAGGACTGGAACTGACACCCCAGCCATATATCACCCCTCCTTCAGTCCACATAACCCCTTTTTATTTCAGAAATACAAGGGCGCTTTGGCAAACCAACGCTTAGGCTGTGTTGATGGATTCCAATATGATCTACCCAAACACAAAACAATAGAGAATATAACTACATAGCAGTGACCACCACCAGCTGCCACCGCTTGGCTGGCCGTCACTTTAGCTGTGGCCGTCTGAACTTCAAAACATCCAGAGCGTTTGAAGCTCTGGGCGTTTTTGGCTCTGCCACAAGTTATGTTAGGAGTGTTTTTCACAGCGGTTAGCTAGCCCGTCCTAACCAATGCCTCCAGGTGTCTGAGTGGAGTGGCTTAACTCCTGCCATTTTGCACATTAGCCACAGCCCCCTCAGCTAATTGTCGTCCAAGTGGCGCCTGTGAGGCAGCAGGGCCTAATGCTGCGCCTGTTTGAGGAGGCTGGGTGGTTTAGCCTAGCCTGCTGTGAGAATTAGCGCCATTTGGTCGCAGCAATCCCTCAGCATGCTACAACAGAAGCAAAGCAAAACATGCTTTTCTAAAATGTTTATTACTATTCCTAAACTTATTTTCTGGACCTTCGCCTAGACTATCTTTTTTTTTTTTTTTTAGCCAGACAAGGCTGTGCTGCTCACACAGCGTCAGCTATTACGACACCCGCTATGCTGATGGATGGCTCATCTTGGGGACGCTTACATTGGCTGTCTCGCCTGGCTCATCACCCTCTCCTTGCTGAGTTAACTTGTTAGCCTTGTGTGTCTGTCCTCCCCTGCCTGCCTCCTCGCTGCCTAATCCATATTTTTTAGGGCTTTAATCCCCTTGTTGGTGGCCGGTTTTGGAAGCAGACACCAATTGTGAGCGTTCTTTTTCTTTTAGTGTGGAGAAAGCCCACTGTTTCACAAGTCCTTTGTTCAGCGCTTGTGGGACGTATGTCGTACGAGTAGGTTAATGCGGATGTCTCCATTGAGGGAAATTCTCATCAACAGACAAATAAAGAGGAAGAAAACAAGCGGAATGTTCATTAGATTAATGAGCCTGTCACAAATAAGACAATAGACCAGGCATGAAAGTACATTGAAAAATGATCCATTGAATTTGCTTCATTCCACATAAACAAAATATATCAGCATGATCACTTTCAGTGGCATAACAAGTCATCCCCAGGTCCATGTGCAAAACTTTTGGACTAAGGGACTGTTTAGACACAAACCATCACAAGGAGAGCCCAGCAAGAACAAAATGCTCATAAAAGTTAAAGTCATTGTCATGTAATGGTGGAAAATGTTTGTGAATGTGGGACAGTAATTCAAATGCAGATAAAAAGTAGATTTATAACAGATTTATTTCAAAATCTACAAAAAAAGTACAAAGACAAGATATAAAATGTTTTACCTTATCAACTTCACTGTTTTCATTCTGAAACTGATGCCTGCAACACATTCCAAATTGCAAAGACTTTAGGTATTTCAGCCTCTGTGGTGCATAATATCATCAACAGATTCAGAGAACCCAGAGAAATTTCTGTGCATGAAGGACAAGGAAAAAATCTGTGATTTTCAATCCCTCAGACAGCATTGCATTAAACACCAGCATGCTTCTTTGATGGATATCACTACATGGGCTTAGGAATACTTTGACGAAACCATTGTCAATAGCCACCGTCCATCACTGCAGCCACAAATTTAAGTTAAGACCGTACAGCACAGCGGAAGTCCAGAAACGCCACCGACTTCTCTGGGCTTTAGCTGATGCACAGTGAAAACGTGTTTTTTGAGTTTTAGTCAAACTTTCAGATTGTTAATGGAAGTGATGGGCACATGTTCTCCAGGTCAAAGAAGAAAAGCACTGTTGCCAGTCAGGGTCTGTCATGGTATTTGGCGGGGACAGGATGCTTAAGGGTAACTTGCACATCTGTGAAGGCACCCTTAACACTAAACACATTTTGAAGAATGCCAAAATATTCAGCTTTCAAAACTGGCTCAATTGGTGTCTTCAGTCCTCAAACGATTATTAAATGTTGTTCAAAGGAAAGGTGATGCAACACAGTGAACTAAACTATTTTGGCACATTTTGCAGGCATCAAAATTGAAATGAGTATATATTTGCCACGTTTTGATGTTCATAAGGTAAATAACAACTGTTTTGGAATTGGGTTTGTATATTTATTAGTGGAGGTTTCTGGAGGTTTCTAGTAGTGGAGAGCTCTCACATGAGTGCAGGCTGTTAACAACAATGGTGGTTGATTTAATTGATGTACAGTATGAAATAACCGAAATCTCATAACAAGATGGTGCAAACTTCACTGAACCTATGGCTCAATCTCAAATAGCTCCCTTCTTTCTATGGAGTGAACTGTGTGAGTTGGAAAATTTTGGTGTATGCACCCCAATAGTACACTATATGTCCAGTAGGGAATTATGTACATGTGGCTGAATCCCAAATGGCTGTCTTGCTACAGGAGACCTGTAAGATCTACCTAGTGCACTACACTTTTAAAAAAGATGGTTCTTCAAGGGTTAATTAGTAAGGAAAATGGTTCTATATAGAACCGTAAACACTTAAAGAACCCTCTGCATTATTAACTCTTACATGATGCAAAGAAACCCGTAATCATGAAAAGGGTTCTTTGAGTGTTCAAGGTTCTATATGGAATAATTTTCTACTAATTAGCCCTTAAAGAGCCATCTGTTTTAAGAGCAGGATACCATTTGAGATTCAGCCTATGAATGACTGAAACGAAATGAATTTATATAGAAATTATTTACGCATTTTAGTCAATTTGATGTGTTTCTTTTGTAAGAGTAGGGAGATCTGTAATAATCCTTGTGTCTGCACATTCACACACACTTCTCGTGTGTGTTTGTGGTGTGCATGTGTTTGCAGGCTGCGAAGTGTAAAAATGGAGCAGAGAAAGCTCAGTGACCAGGCCAACACACTGGTGGACCTATCAAAGGTGAGCGCACGCATACGTACATACACGCACACAATTTTCACAGCAGCCCACACATATTACGTCTGTCGAGAGACAGTGGACACCCACATGTATGCTCACTCCGCGTCCTCCCCAACATTAATATGCACACATGCTGGAGTGGTTTACAGTCTTTATTAGGGCTTTTTATTGAATATTAGCTTAAACATTCAAATATTCTATAAGAAATGTTTTCACTTTTAATAGTAATTAAACCCTAAAGCTGATTAACCTCATTAAAAACTGAAATATACTGCTTTGAAATAATAAATGACATCAGTTTTGTTGAAATTTTAACATTTCTTTTTAAGTTGTCTAAATAACATCATAACTGTGGTCCAACCTCTGCAGCGCCCCTTCTGGTTTAACTCTGCTATAGACGTGCATTGCGTAGATCAGGAGTACGAATTTATGTCACAATATGCAAATCAATCAACTAACTGCCCCTGATAACGAGGCCTGCCTGGCACTGCACTAAAAAAACTAAATGAATATCACTGATAAGAAATTATTTTCATCAGGGCTGGCTCTAGCCTTTTGGGGGCCCTAAGCAGGACTTCTGTGGCGGCCGATCTTTTTAGTTGGTGTACTGTAAAATTATAGACTAACTAGTAAAATTGACTAGCATAAGCTGTATAAATTATATAAATTTATAGCTGGCTATTTTGTGTGTTGCTGACAGAGCATGTGAGCGGTGTGTATTGGGAGCAGAGCAATGTGAGTGCTGAGGATTTTTTTCAGAAAGTCAAAGCGTCAGTGTTCTCTCCCGCTCTGAAATTGCTCCAGTATCGCTCCATCCTGCGATCCAGACAGTCCTTTTTTTTCTCACTAAGTGCGTTTACACGCACTCAATAATCCAATCATACTTGAGTTTCTGCAGTTATCTGATTATTCAATGGTCATGTAAACAGCACACTCTGATATCTTAGATCAGAGTAAGGTCTAGAAATCTGATTAAGAAAGCCAATAAAGAGAGCTGGATTTTAGCTTAGTAATCATATTTCTCTTTTCGCATGTAAACTCTTACTCTGATTTCTTTCGGATTTCTTAGTCTGTGTATGTGCAAAACAGACGGATTGGAAATAAGCAAGCAGCCTTGCCACAAGACGGCAACAAAACACTTTTGGAGCAATGCTGAACCCAAACACATGCTTGATGAAATCAAGGACTTAAATATTCTTCACCTTCTAGATGATGTATGTTCATATTTTGAGGTAAAGTGGCTTGATGTTTTTAAAAAAAGCAGCGGCATGAAGTTTGAGTTTTACATTACGTTTACGTCACGTCTTCTTCTATGACTTTATTGGCTGGCTGCAAAGCAGAAATCTGATTACTGAGTTTCCCATTATTTGATTACTCAGGTGCCTGTAAACGTGTTGATCGGATTACTGACAAAAAAGCGCTACAGATATTGCACACAGTTTGTCTTGTGATTGGGCCAATGCTTCAAGCCTTGGTAGCACAGAATGTTTAACTATTTTTTAATTTAATAATGGCCATAAATTATATAATAAAATATTGGCTGTTTGTCATAAATGCGATGCTTTCATGTGCACCTGCCCCAGAATTAATCATAGTCATATCTAAATCAGCATAAACAGAGAAAGTTGTTACTTATTGTGCAACTACTAGCTAAAACAAATGGCATAACAACAACAGCTTTTTTTCCCTTGTCTTTTTTTATTCTGTTTTTTGGCTTTAAATACATGCGTTCTCTTATGACAGATGATTAACCAGTTATTTTTTCCCACTCACTTAAGCAACTTAGATAACATAACTGTACAGTAGTAACCCGGATGGTGTTAAGGGGGCCCTCTCGTGGCTCCTAAGTAGCTGCTTATGTCACTTATTAGGTACAGCCAGCACTAATTTTCATATAACAAGTTGCATCAAAATACTAAACTGGGGATCCAACCCAGTGTGGAAACAGATCAGTGGCTCTGTTTGAACAGCAGTGATCACCATGTCTTTTAAATCATTCTTAGATGGAGTGGCAAGTGGTTTTTCACAAAGTCGGAGCATCAGGGTTCTCTCCTGCTCCGAAATCACTCCAGTATTTGAGCGAAATGAAAGCACCTTTCTGGTCAGCTCTTGTAGTTGAATTATTAAGGTTTTTAGGCCATTCAAATCTGCTTTATGCGATTTCGCTCCAAAACACTTTTTGACACGCATTGTCAAAAAGGAAAATGGCAGAGAAACAGTCAAAGAGGAGAACATCTGAAGAACCAAGATTGAGAAAGAAGTTCTTGGATCAGGCAAGAGCGTTTTAGAGGTGGAGAGTCCGACGAGAATTGATGTTGAGGCATTTCAGCAGTGCAGAGACCTCTGTAAGTTGATGAGGCTCAAGTTTCCTAGTTGCATTTTCTTGTTCCACCTTAAATTGTGCAGCAGTTCCATTCTGGCTCCTGAGGCACCTGAATGTAACTGCTGCAATTCGAAAAAAAAGCTGGCAAAAAAAAGCTGACTTCAGGTTCACTGTTAAAAGACGTGAAAAGGGATGAGGAGGTTGCTCCTGCTTGACAAGTGGGTTACATTAACTTATCTTTGCTATTTCACAGAAACAGTAGATCGGTATCGCTTTGTCCCATTTGCTAATGCTTGTGATAGCAACTGGTTCGCTTCACAGCAAGACAACTTTACTTACTTGCTGTGTCATTGTTCATTCTAACGTTCCATCATGGTATTTGTCTGTGCAGTGTTTGCGAAGGGTTTTATGGCCATGAAGTTTGCCAGCCATGAATTTTGGGGGTGGAGCTTCAGAAGAAGCATTGAAGGCAGAGGTGTATTTGTCTTATATATGAACAGTCAGTCTCCAGAAAGATATATTGTGACAGATACAGCTAGCGTGTTAGCACACTATAATCTATTCTCGGTAGTAAATGCAACTGACAACATGCTAACTAACTAGCAGTCCAGATCAGTGAGACACTCATGGTCTGTACCCGGAGTTAAAATGGATATTGTCACCTTGAATTGACATTTAGCTTGATTACCAAACATTTCCTTCCACATCGAAGTGCTGTGGTTCTATTAAGTAGTAAATGTGTGGATTATTTAAGTGGCTTTTCTGTTTTAGAATATTATTTTGGAATATGTGTTGCAGCCCTAGTCTTTATGTTGGTGACTGTGCATCTATTATGTCAAAAATAGAAAAGGCACACACATAAACATAGACTAGCACATAACACCTGACAACATGCACATACCTCTGCCTGCCCAAATATATCTCAGTATTCTACTCTTTCCATGTTGACCCGTTTGTTTCTGTGGCTTTGCGTCTCCTAGCAACCGGAACAAGTGTTAAAGGAGGGACGACAGTGGGAGTGTGGAGAGGTAGAGGGAGAGAGAGAGCGAGAGAGAGGGAAAGAGGCATATATAGAAATAAAGCAGATTCAGACTGGTCTGAGACAGGAGGAGACAGACAGAGATATAATGCGTATGTTAGACTGCTTGTGTCTGTCGGACGCAGAGGACGAGCGGATTCTGGTCTCAGTGATGCATAATCTGTGCATAATTTCCTCTGCAAAAGGGCTCTAGCTACAGTAAAGGTCTAATGTAGTCTCACAGTCTCACTGTCGCGGCCTCCCACGGGGCGTCTGTAATAACATACTGTACCGTCTGAGGCCCAGCATGTACTTCATCTGTCTTTCTGTACTCTAATGGTTAAGGTTCCCTTGACAAAAGACAGTGAGGTTCCAATTAGCAGCAGTAGTTTCATACATTCAGTCAGAGTAGCATAGGCTATTAGCTAAAAGCCTGCATTAGCTACAGCTAACCCACATATCAGTGCTACAAATCCACGTTTTGCTTCGTTTAAGTAAGTACTTGAAACATATTGCTGAACTGAGACAAGAGAATACAGTGAGAAGTGTCTGCCCAACATATCAAATTCCAGAAAAAATGGGATATTCTGATGTGTAGCATGCTTTGTGAAAATGTCAATATTTATATTGATATTTTTTTGCCATATTCTCCTCATAGCACATAGTTTCTTGTCATACCCAGAAGTAAAGATGGCCAATCAGTGTAACTGGCAAACTTCTGAAAGCTGTGACCATCTTAGAGTACACACTTAAAAAAGATGGTTCTTCAAGGGTTCTTTAGTAAAGAAAATGGTTCTAAATAGAACCATGAACATTTAAAGAAGCCTTTGCATGATTAAAGGCTTCTTTGCATCGTGAATGGGTTCTTCAGATGTAGAATGTGTTGTATATGGTTCTATATAGTATCTTTTTGAATGCTATATAGAACCAAAACAAACTATAGAGCACCAAAACTGGTTCTGCTGTTGTTGCAAGCTGGACATCGTAACTATAGAAGAACCCTTTTGGTGCTGTGCCCTTTTTAAAAAGGTTCTATATAGCACCATCTTCGGCACATTCTCTATCAATCTGAAGAACCCTTTCATGATGCAAAGGACCTTTAATAATGCACAGGGTTCTTTGAGTGTTCATGGTTCTATATAGAACTATTTTCTTTACTAAAGAACCACTGAAGAACCATCTTTTTAACGTGTGTACAGTACACATCAGACAGTCTTCGGAGACCGAGACTACCTCGTTGTGCAGATGACAGTAATCTCCCTCCCTCTCCCTCTCTCCGTGATGTAGATGCAGAGCGTTATGTATGAGCTGATGTCGGAGCTGAACGACCGCAGTGAGGACCTGGAGCGGCAGATGTTGAGTCTGGAGCGGCGGGTGGAGCAGCTGACGGCCGGATTCAGCGCACTGCCTGCCCACCTGTCGGCCACGCTCAGTGCACAGCATGCCGCGCTCGTCCACCTGCTCCAGGAGCGAGACGCCAAGGCCCTTAGCCCCGTCACGCCTGCTCCCCTCCTCACGCCTGCCCCTGTCCCGACAACAACCGTCCAAGCAACAACCTCCAAACCCCCTGCAGAGGACAGCCCCAACACCAGCACCTCCAGCTGCTGAGAGAGGGGCAGAGCCTCAGCGAAGCTGGGGAGAAATGCATGGGCGTTAGAGTGTGGAGTCTGGATGAAAGAAATGGGTGGGCGCGAGAACTCAGCCAAGCTAAAGTGTGGAACCTGGCTGAGAGAGCGAGGACGGGGCTTCAACCAAGCTAGGAAAAAGTGCATGGGTATTAAGGTGTGAAGCCTGGCTAATGGAGGGGGTGGGGAGGGTCGGAGCCTTGGCCAAGCTAGGGAGAGTGCATAGGTATCAAAGGAATAGCTTAACCAAATGTGCTAACATGGCTAACTGCCAATGGAAGCTCCACTATGTCCAAAAGTTTGTAGACACTTGCTTATCTAGCACTCTGAAATCAGGGGTATTCATAGGGAGTTCGTCCCCCTTTACTGCAGTAACACCCTCCACTCTTCTTGCATTTTTTTTCACTAGATGTTGGAACATTGCTCTAAGGATTTGATTGCATTTAGCCACGAGAGCATTAGTGAGGTCAGGTACTAATGTTCAATGATTAGGCATTGGATGGAGCTCTATCACTTCAGAGAATGCAGTTGCAATGCTCCACAGCCCAATGCTGGGGGGCTTTTTATCCCTCTAACCAACTTTTGGCATTGAGCATCGTGCTCAGTTGTGGCTCCCATTTAATGGTCAGTGCTTTTCCATGGAGGTTATACAAGCTGTGTGCAATTGAACGGCTGCATCAGCAATGGGGTGCAACTTAAAGTTGCTGATTTCGCTTCTGGACATAGTGTAGTAGCCACCAATTAGTATGATTTGCTTGCTATCGCTAATTCTTGGCTGTTTGCTTTCATTCGACGTTAGCAACATTAGCTTTGCTGGCTGAATGATTCCTTTACCACGTGGAACCTGGCTGAGAGGGAAAAAATGGGGGGCTCAGCCAAGCTGGGGAGGAATGTGAGGGTATTAAAGCATGGAACCTGGATAAAAGAGAGAGAGGAATCAGGTTGGAAGGAGCGAAGAGAGTTTGTGAAGGAAGTAATGAATTGCAGGGAGAGATAAGAAGGTGATGAGAAGGAAGGTGTAGGGGGGTGGGAGTGCGAGAGCAAGCGAGGGAGCGCGAGAGAGAGATAAGAGGCAGTAATTAAATGAATGGCAAATACTTTAATGGAATCTGCACTAATTAGAGGAAAATGCGTCTCTCCCTCCATCAGGAAAACTAACTGCAGTGACTTTGTATCTTTACAACGTATTTTCTATCTAACTGCTAATTGTGTATTAACGAGCATCCCTTTAACGAGAGTTCTAATCAATACCACATAACTAGTGGCACTCGGCACGAAACACGAAAAAACAAGAAAAAACCTCGACGCGGAGACACATGTGATGCCTGCCCTTACAGACACGGGACACGGGATCCACACGCGCCCTTAAGGCCCCAGTGCAAAAACACTGTGTGTCAGAGGCATATACACACACACACACACACACACATACATACACACCTACAGACACTCGAATGATGCACTAAAGCCACACGGAACACTGCCAGACAGCTCGTTCCTCGAGGAGAAGACGCTCACCTGTGCGGGAACACTACGAAGAAACTGCCATACTTCATGTAATTCCACATGGAAGACAATATACACTGTTATCATGAATGTATACATCCAAGAACACATGCACACATGCACTCTCTTACTGTCTGTCCTGCATACATACATACATACATACATACATACCCTCACTGGCTACCTTGTTAGGTACAACTACCTTGTATATATAGTCATCGTCCATTTTATCAGGTCAACTTACCATATTGATGCTCTTTATAGTTTTATAATTATGTTTTTTTGCCCTTTTTCACCCTGTTCTTCAGTGGTCTGGACCCCACCGGACCACCACTGAGCAGCTATTATTCGGGTGGTGGATCAGTTGCAGCACTGCTGTGACTCTGACATGGTAGTGACATTGTAGTGAGTGTGTGAGCTGCACAGAGTGGATCACAACGGTGTTGCTTGAGTTTTCCAACAACTGGGCTTGACATACTAAGCCTTTTGCGGCACTTTCATGCAGGATGCATTCCGCCAACATTGGTAAAACACAAAATGTACTTCTTTCCCTCATGCATATGCATCTGAGGGAGGGCTGGGAGGATTGGGCAAAAAGTGGGTGGACATGCTACATGTCCGGCTGAATACAGGTACTAAAGTTCGGGTAACTATTGCTGTCCAACTTTGTGCTGATTTTCCTCTGCCTTTTAAATTCTGGTGTAAATTTGCATCAAAATACATGTTGAGAGACAGTGGCAGCAGACACAGCAGGCAGATGAAGGCATGTGTTTTAAATGTGCTGAAACAACCAGAATAACACTTTTATTATTTTATTTATCAATTTGTTAGCTGTACTGTAGAATGTTTTGTCTGCGTCACTGAACTTTAATTTTGTTTTGTCTCAAGCTTGTAGACTGCTTCATTATTTCACTCCCTCTTTTTTATGTAAGATTTGAGGATTTGGAGACCTCTCTGGCAGAAATATGTAATTGCATGCAATGTGCAGAAGAATATTTTGTAGTGTGGGTTGTGCTTTGGACCACCACAAGTGGATAAATCTGACTTTTGCGAGTGCGTTGAAAGAGTGTTTGAAGAAGATTAGTCAAACTTGGTGAAGGACGTGATATGAGCGAATTATCTTTTGCTGTCAACATATCTTCATCAGTATAATGTTGATTTTGGATAGAACAGACAACAGCTCATGTCCACGTTTAGTTGTTGTGGATGTTGGAATGACAGTAGATGCCATTCTGATTTTTCCTCTATCGCCCCCTTGAGTAACGAGTGTTGAAACTGCCACAGTAACACAAGAACGCACGTCGAGTTTGTACAGTTTGCTCGAGTTTGCGCTGGCGGAGCGTTCGCGTACTTGCGTTGAGTAAGTTTAGGCCTTCGGTTAAATGTCAAATGTCTCCCTATTCTCTGTGTAGTGCACTATGTATGTCACGAAGCAGCTTCTATATCCAAGATGTGCATGGAATGTCAAGTAGAAAGCCATTATATTCAGCCATTAACTCCCTATCTAACATTTAGAGCACTGTTTGGGTTTCGAAGCCAAGCCATAGTTTCATGATCTATGTAGTCCACTTTAAAGGGAAGAAGGAGCCATTTGAGATTCAGCTGTTGTAAACTAAATGTTAAATTCAGTGTTGTGGTTGCATCATGGCACATTTGCATGTCCATTGGTTCCTGGTGTCACTACAGCCACCAACCAAAAACATCCAGCAAGCAGTGTCCTGTGGTCAACAACTGACCACTGACGAAGGACTAGAACAGGGGTTGGCAACCCAAATGTTAAGAAGAGCCATTTTGTCCTTTCAGTAAAAATCAAACCACCTTGGGAGCCACAACATTTTATGTACGTTTTGCCATCTTGGCTGTAAATATGTCTCAGTGTGTGCTAATGTACTAGTATAGGAATAAAAAATATAATATGAATGAAAACGCAGACTTACTTTGCTCTGCTTTAAGCTGTAGGTTAGCTATAGCTGCTTTTCTTGCATCTCCAGCAGGAAACTTTTCCTCAAAAGTAGAACAGTTTCTCGTAAAATCTCTCTCAACATTCGTTTTTTTTACAAGGCTGAAGTCGCTTCTCATTCGCCAGCTTCTTGTTTTCCCGTTCCACCTTAAATGGTGCCTGAGGCGCCAGAACGTAACGGCTGCGCCATTTAAGGTGGAACAACTTTTTAGACTTTGACAGTTTCTCGTTGTGCAAATAAGTCCATTCTTCTCCAAATTATCGATGTTCGTTTTAAATCTTTCTCTTTGCCTTTTCGTTAGCTGCTAGCTAGGAGAGACTCTTGTCTGTGTTGCTACAAGACCAGCAGTCTGCGCACCAATCTTCAGGGTCAAAGGTTAGTGAATTAGCAGATAAAGACCACATTAACTCCAGCGTTTAAGACCATTTATTGTTAAAACTGTGTTCAGACGATCAGCAGAGCTTTATTTTACTGCAAAGGAGGATTATTTCATTTTTACCTAAAAATCTAATTCTGCTTTGGAGCCGCAACAGGGCAGTAAAAGAGCCGCATGTTGCCGACCCCTGGACTAGAGGATGACTAACAAACTGTGCAGCAGTTGTTTCTAACTTTACATCTACGTGGTGGACCAACGAGGTGGGTGTGTCTAATAGAATGGACAATATGTGGACACATTATTTAAAAACTCAAGCAGCTGATCCACTCATACCATCACAACACTTGTCAGTGTCACTACAGTACTGAGATCTACCACCTTGCTCACTGGGGGTCCTGACCGATGAACAGGTTCTGTAAAACTACAAAGTGCACCTACAAGGTAAGTAGAGTTGATAAAATGGACAATGATTGTAGATACAAGGTACCCAATAAAGTGACCAGTGAGTGCACATACATATACATATACATATACATACGCATACACATTCTCTAATTATACCTGCTACCAAAGTGCTCTGTCTATAAAGGTGACTGGAACTGGAAGGTGTGGCAAAAGTGAGGGAGGCGGCGAAAGCAATCAGAAGGATATAAATAAAAAAAAATAATAATAATCATTGTCTAAGAATGTTATGATGAAAAAGGGACAAAACTCTGGATCTGGATGGCACTTGTAACCTGCCTGAAAGATAAGACTCACAGCCATTTAAACGAGGGGAAACTGAAGCCAGTCGACATACATACAGAAACTGCCCAATCAAGGTGGAACGTAAGCGCTGCTCACAAGAAAATAACTGTAGAATGAGAGTTAGTCTTTCTGTGAGTGGACTTTAACCTATTATCATGGTGTCTTGGAAATAAGAGACTATTTTACTGCTGACCCCATTTCTACTGAGACCATTTTGGAGAAAACTGTCTCATAGTGACATCCTGTGGCCGGAATACTGAATTAAACGCTTGGAATAAAAAAAAAAAATGTACATTATTATGCTGTTAACTGAAACCTAGCTTTGTATCGCTCAAGTTTTTTTTACCATTAAGGATTACTAACGCAGTTCTAGCTGATATTTACTATTATGATACTACTATAGCATTCTTCTCATTCGTCATGACAATTATGATCGCTATATCAATACCAACTTTAATAACATTAACTATTGATAAGGGAGGTGCAGTTTGAGGTTGAAATTATTTTGTAATTTTATTTTAACAGAGAGAATTAATAAAGTATATATCTATATAACATCACTGTGCCTACGTTGTGGTCTTTTTTGTCCTCATTCTTACAGCAGTGATTGATGCTGTGTGTCTGTGTATTTAGCGGTGATTCATCATGAGGCCTGTTGTGAAAATTAGCATATTTTGCTTTGAAATTATAAAAGAAAAACAAGATCGTACTTTACATAGAAATGACTGTTTAGGACCTTTTTTGCACTGTGGTTTGGTTATAATTAAGTGCATTTTATTCTGAATTTTCAATACCGTATCCAGATCCATTGCTCTAGAGTTGATTGTATTTCCTAAAAATACAAAATTATATTTCGTATATAATAGTTATA